GTAAAGAAAAAAACGGATATGGTGAGATATTTCATGACAAACCAATAAAATAAACGGCAGAATAAAACCTATCTTCACTGGTTCAACCCGCACTGTCGCTAACCAATGATTCACTACCTTAGCAGACAGTACGATCAATAAATAGTAATAAGTAGTACGCAGTAGACAATTGTACTGGTAGGTCGGTAACACGAAATTATCGCCTCAGTGGGTTGTCAAACCTCAAACGTAAGCGATTAGACCTTTATTACAGAATAATCACAGCATTTAAGCAAAGTCACTAGTTTATGATACATAGTAACAAGTATAACAATTTATAACAGGTAAAATCTAAAATCAAAAAAAATAAACAAATAAACCTACAAAAGAGAAGGTTAGCTAGTTCGGTATCACAAAAAACGCATTGCTCTACAACACCTGCCTTTTTTTGCCAATCGGTTTGAGCTGATCGGCCTTGGTTAACATGCAAATTTTGGCTTCTTCATGACTGCCTCTCTGGCGTCAGTCGCCGATCAATCCCCATAAACCTACTCCTTCTAGCTTTCGCATTAGCTGCGACAAGGACAGACATATATGAAAAGCGGCAAAAACAAGATTGTAGTTCAAACGTCAAGCTCTTGTACAAGAAATCTAAAACATTTCAAAATCTATTTTTACGAATATAATACAGATTTTACAGCGCAAGCGTATTGCAATCCCAGTGCAGGAAAAACTACAAAAAGAACTGATTATTTGACAAAATAAATTAAATTCGTTAAAGGCGTCACTGACAGTCTATAACAAGTACCTTTATCGATATTATTCAAAGACTAAAAAGGCCGGCCCAAATCTGCCAAACTGCAGAAAAGAAACGAAGAAGGAAAGAGCAATGACGGTCCCGTCTTCTCTGATTTCCTATCTCAGTTGTTTTTATTGTCCAGTTGCCCAATAATTTGTTTTCTATTCTAACACCCATCGTTTATCGCTTAATACGCTAATGTTATAAATCTGTATAAAAAAAAGTAATCCTTGGACACAAAATTTTTACCAGTAATTGCGCTAGCAATCGCTACAGCACTGCTGACATTGACTAATCATGAAATAATCGCTGCAAACTCATTATCCTGAATGTCACTGTAGTCTACGCTGAAGAATGGAAAACGCGTTTTTTTTCTCCAAATTCCGTAGTTTTTTTTGTCAATCCTTCTAACTCCACTCTATTGAGCTGCTGCAAATTTACGAGCAGTAATACGAGCTTACGATAACTACATGCATTTGCCTTTTGTTCGCCACCCTGCGTCGGATTTCTTGAATATCAGTTAATTACTGACACACTTTGGAGCCATTGAAATAATCCTAAGAACTAAATTGGAATTTCCAAAGGCGCAGCATTACAAACAATTGCAAACGAATAGACTGCAGGCTAATTTTGACAGGAACTTTACCAAGAATCCTTGTATGGACTACAAGATTGCACATATTTGTACCGCTTAGAGTACAAGACATGCCTTCAATAGACCTAAACAGTCTATGAACAGAAGTATGAAACTTTCAATCCGTCAGTTATTCGCAAAACGAGGGCTCAACGTGATCTGAGACCTTTACTCCAGAATACAATGTTTACAGAGTTATCAAGGAAAACTAAAAAAAACTGTAAAGGACGTAGAAATGTACGCTCTTCAACACCCGCTGGAGAAAAATATTAAAGACAACAAGTGAATCACTAGCAAAGCACTTGTTAGAAAGGAAACATAACAAGATTTCAACTTCGAGTGGATAATACAAAAAGTTAGTAGCTACCTAACAGCCGATTCCTATGGTCGTATGACCCATATAAACGATTTATTATTTCAAATATTAACTAGAAATATAAAGGAGAAACTGTGCTCAGTAAATTACGGCAATAAAAGTTACAATCCGTAACATTTTGAAAAAAGACCGATTACTGTCCAAACATCAAAAAATATAAACAAATAGAGATTAAAAAACAGCTTTAAAATGTAGTCAAGATATGTCACAACTTGGGATCATCAATTAATTCTACGCAGCTAATCTTATAGATATTAGGCTCCCTACATCAATGAAAAAAGCGTAATGAGCAAAAACGGAATTGGCTAGGAGAGAGTTACCATTACCAGCAACATCCGAACGCGGAACCTGAACTTTCCGTCTTAGAGAGCTTAACAAACTGATGTAGGAAGTAAAAGTAAAAAGAGTATCTAAGTGCGGCGTAACCATATTGTATCAGAAATCCAAATACATAACAAATCGAAAGAAAACTGTACAGTACTGTTACAAAAAACATTGATACTACATCTCACACTTGCGTGGGGGTGATCTGACGTTGCACAGGACCGCCGTACTCATTTTCTTTAGGCGGACTGTTGCGGTTTGCTCGAGCTCGGGCTATTTCACTGATAGGAAGCGTACCAGCATCATCGATGTAATCCTCAAGCACTGGCGCAGATTCGTAAGGTGCGGCTGGTGATCGAAGCTGCATTGGCACTGGGTACATACGCCCGCCATGCGGGTGAAATAAGCCTCTCTGAAAATGATAAAAGGTAAAACTACAAAGCAGATTGAAAAAGCACAGTACCATGAAAAAAGTCAACAATTTTTACTTCTCCGTTCTTTCCGTAGGTCCCAAAATATGGCTTTTCATCGGAGAGTGGGACCTTCTCGTTGGAACATAAACTTGGTGTATGCTTAGTGTCACTGTCATTGTCACCAGTGGAATTCTGAAAAGAAAGGTCGACAGAGAGCTGAAAAAGAAAAGAATAAAGTCGAGAAAATGGTAGCTATTCGGCCAAAAGTTGCTTACCTGCCTAACATAAATTTTAATGAGCTCCATCACAAGCTCTCTGGAGATTCTTCCACTCACATGTTCTTGGATAAATTTCAGAACCAACACGCCATCAGGGCGCAAAAATTCTTGCACAAAAGACCGGGCCGCGCTTTCGGACAAACCATTTGACTAAAACACCTTTTGGTTGAACGACTATAAAATTGAAAATGTAATTAAAGTTTTTGACCAGAGACTCGATTGAAGATCTAGCACATTATTATGATTCAGTTGCACAGATCCAACACCGCTATTTATTCCCAATTAGATGACTCCTTCTTCAAACGACTACTCTCCCTATATTTTTTTAAATAATAGATTTACCTTCAGCTCATCTCTGCTGACATTCCACAGCACCATGCGCGCACGACCACAAGGAATGCACATAACAGTCAAGTAATATAAAAAATTAATCAGGGTGCAAAATCCAACGAAAATAAACCAGAACCAAAGGAACAAGTATAACTTCTCATTGATCATATTCATCATAATAACACATTGCACAGTATAATTTCGCTGATTAGCCAAACTTCGAATCTAAAAATGCATACAATAAAAAAAATGCTCCGGTATATATGAAATCTGGCAGATCGATCAACTACAAGAAACAAATAGGAACGGCTAACTGACAAATAACGGCAACATTTATAACTTGCCGTGAAATCACACAGGATTACACGCGGAAAAATCGGAGATGGATCCCAGTTGAGACCATGTGCGAAAGACATCCATGTCTGAAGGGTCAAAGGCGAAATAAATCGGATGTATAACAAAAAAAAACAGCCAGCAACGATACGAAAACTATTTAATATTTAATAATTTTTAAAATAATTTTGTTACTATTATTGTCATTGTTATCATTATTATTATCGCCGTCACCATTGTCATTATCAGAGAAACTGTCATCACCAAATGTTTTACCATCACTACTGCTACAACTGTTACCTATTTAATAAAACTAACACTCGAAGAATTAATACGGGGCAATACTCAATTATTTTTTAGGAAGTCTTACTGCACAAGAAAAATGAAAAGAAATTTTAAGACCTCTATGTGGAAGAAACTTGACTTGGCAATTACCTCATATCCCCAGTGCAGATATCCGCCACCAAGGAAATGATTCATCAAATATAGTTGACCAATTATGTTAACGACATAAAAGAATTTTGTCATTAAATACAGAAAAGCAGCGTTTCTGCCAGAACGAGCGACTTCCTAAAACCATGTTCAAGCAGTGTCATTCAATTCCCTTTAATGTTCAACTTACATACAACAGTGAAATCAATGACCTTCCGAAACCGTGTTTTAGGAACAAAAACTGCGACAGTATCAGCTATGTATTCAGCCAAGTTACGAATTTCCGTTTCTCTTCTTGCAGCGTTCAGATGAGAACATTTCAGAGCATCCTTTATTAGTGCTCTTGGCTGTACAGCTAAATGTTAAATAAGTAGACAAGTCAAGTTTCATCTGAACAAGGCTAATTTCTTGAACCAAAAATTGAATGAACAAAACAAAACCTGTCTGTTTGTAGAGCATATTCCAAATATAATTGGGGAAAAAAAACATTAAAGCTTGTAGCGCTAGCACAATAGGCACCCACTAAAGAAAAAATTATTTGATCAATTACAAAAAAGAAATACCAAGTTTAAAAAAACTGTTAATTTACAAATATGCTCTCCAAAACGAAATATTAAAAACGAATAAGTTTTTACCCGATAATAGCTAATATGGTCTTGTCGGTAAGATAGGTCATTAGGAATATCTTCTTCCAAAGGAATATAGTACGAATTTTGAATAAAGCAATAATCTTCAGCGTACCTCTCCCAACTACCTGAAAAATAAAACTCTTTTCAAGCTGGGTTCGGATGAGAAAACAAACAACAGGATTAAAATACAGCTTAAGATTTTCCACTGTTTGACAATAAAATTCAATGACTGAAAGCGTTATAATTTTTTTCTGCCAAAATTATAAATTACGTCACAGAAGACTGTAACAGAAGGTTTCGTTCTTGTAATTTAGACCAAAATTTATAAATGTATAGACAGATAAATTTATAATTAAATGAAGAGAACAGCATAGTTTATATGTCACTTTTTGTAAATGACTAAACACGTGAAATAAGGAACCGTAATCAAGTATTAGGTTGTTCAGTTGGTCTTATATAATACAATGTAAGAGATTTAAAATGACAGCAAAAAAAAATTACCTTTGAATTCGTTTGGCAGAAAGCATTGTATCGGAGATCCAAAGTACTGTTTTGCAGAAATTGCTAATGCAAAAAATGCCAACAATAATGAAGTGGAGTAGTAATTTAAATAGTCTACTGAATCTGCAACTACCTGCGGCTTGACAACCTTACGAATATAGTCGTTTATCAGTGGAATCCCTAGCATTCTAAAAATACTTTCAAAAAAGTCAATGATCACCAGTAGTACCCGTAAAGAATCGTTTCTAAAAGTTCAAAGAACACATGAAATACAGTTCAGCACGCACGAAAGCGCAAATTTCCTTGTCTAGAAAGTGTCAGATGACTTTTCGCAACTTTCAACATCATATTCATGGCCAGAGTTTCTGCAGCAACAAATGTATAACCTGTTGTAGAATCTAAGAATATCTATTTTAGTCAGGATATGTGACAGCGAATTTACAGACCTAAATTGTAAACTAAGTCTTAAAAACGATTGTTACTTTGAATGAGACGGCTCCAAATAAAAATGAGCCGTATTATAATTCAGTGAATATGAGCTTTAAACTGCAGTAAGCCAATAAAAACTATTAGTTAACTCAGTTCTTCCAATAATGCTCTTTCAGTAAAAACAAAATTCAGCAAAGAAAAAATGTGGATAAGTACTACAGAATATATCACGTCTTTCGACTTCTTCCATTCAAATCTTTTAAAAACTTCCTAAAGCTGAGAAGTCATGACTGATCTCACTTCTTTGACAGGTTTAATACAGGTCCCTCAAAAAGCGTTCGAAACTACTAAACTTAACGTGTTTGGAGATGAGCATTGTTATGCTGAATTGGCACTGTGATGAAACCTAACGATGAAAGCGAAGAAACCTCGGTTTAAAACAGATACGAAGAATCTATAACCAAGCTTTGTAGAAATCCTAATAGTGCAAGAGGTACTCTTTAAGTTAACATAGACAAAAGTAGAAAACGCAAATCATCTGAGATGTTAATAAAGTAGAAGCACAGCCCCAAAAATATTATATTATCTTGAAATGTGTCTGTCGTCTTAGACAATAATAAAGCAAAACTCTACAGTATAAATTAGAAGAAGTTTTGAAAAGAACTAGTAGTAACTTTGAAAGAAAAAATAAACCGCTTTAACAACAAAACGCTAAATTTCTTCCCCCCTTTTAGTAATGATAAAAACAAAAAGGTTTTGATAAAATCAGTAATTTTCAAAAATCTCATGTTTTCACTTTAAAATAAATAAAGAAAGAAAATATCTTAATTTTAGCACTAGAACAGTTATTGTATTTTCGTCTTTTTTTTTTTTGCGCAACTGCAATTTTTGTTTTTGAAGGTTAATTAATGCCGATACAATTGATAAGAACTTTTCAAAAAGTTTATATTTGAGCTGCATGTTTATTAAGCAGCTAATTGAAGCTTTTTTTCAAAGAAAAGTTAAAGTAAATAAGACGCATCATTTACGATTACTCAGATGAACCAGTCCACAAATAAAATTTTCAATCAGCCTTTTTGATAGCAGTAGCAGCATCGAATAGCTGCAGAAGTGTACCACATCGGTTTTATAAGCTATATAACCTTTTCGTAGTAACAATCAAAAATAATATAAACGTTTTCAACACTTTACAGTATTTTCGGTCCGGCGAACAAAGATAACAACGAAGATAATCAAACAGAGGAAGCAGAAGCTTAAAAAAGGAAAAAAAAAAAGGAGATTTCTTTCTTTCAAACGATTCATTAAAATTCAAATTTGATTTTGAGTGGAAAATCTCCTTTTGGTAGAACCATCAGCGACCACAAAAACAGCCCCAAACAAAGCCTCAGAAACGTTTTTTTGTTTAAGAAAAAAAATGGAGAAGCACTATGTAACTATTTCAGAAATAAAATAACGGTACAGCTCCAAACAGCTTTACGCTTTCAAGGAAACAAAAAAGCTTTGCCTTATTACCAATGTAGAACTGCAGCACGTAATGAAAAAAACATTTAGTACAGCAAAATGTCCTCGTCAGACAATAATTTTCGTTGGTCTTAACTGTCTGTAACGAAGCTTGCAATGTTCATGTAGTGGAAAAATGCAAATATTGAAATACTGCAGATACTAATATTTATTTATTTCAGAGGTTTTCGTCAATTAAAAAAATATGGAATTACTGCGTTGAAAGAAAAAAAAAACCATTGTTTAAATGGGACTGTTCAACAACAACTGTTCCAAAATCTCTTGTTGCAGTTACCTGCATTAAAATCAACTAACCAAAATGTAAATATCTTAAGGGGGGGGGGAAGGGGGAAGGGGAAAGAAGAAAGTTTTGCTAACAAAAACATCTTCGTAGTAATGACAAAAATTAGAAAAGAAACTGATGCATTATATAAATTCGATAAGATGAAGCATACTGAACGATTTTAGCGTAGAAAAGCAAAAAAAAATTCTATTTTTGGGAAAAGCATAAAAAATCACGCTGTAAAGGTGTTAGAAGTGATGAAGTCAATACAAAACAAACCTTATATTTATTTTTATAAGAAAATCATACAGAAATATTTGAGCTATATTACGCTTCCCGTTCTTACGCCATTATTCTTATAAAGAAAAAAAACTGACGCACCGACTACATTAACAAACAAAAATGTTAAAAGCATTACTTCTTTACTTTCTATTTTTTCTCTTTGCTTAACCCTTATTTTAAAATCTAATCATTTAGTCTTCTTTCCTGCTTCAAGAGAGGAAAAACGGCCCAAAAACATTTTTAAAGCGAACGAAGCGTCGTAATTGAATAGCCAAGTACAGAAAAAGTATAGAAAAAGTTTAAACGAGGCCAAGAACGGTGAAAATCAATTCAAAAAAGACGCCAAAAATAAATAATAACGAGAAAAATGACCATCGGTTAGTAGTGGTCAGTCACTAAGAATTTGTTTAGTTTTGTTTAGTTTAATAGACCACTAAACAGGACGGTTAATATTCATAACAGCGGGTGCACCCACAAAAGCATCGATAACACTCTGTTTCACCAGACTCGAAGGGCAGACCGTTTGAGTTTTTGTGTACATCTTTCTCTTCATTTACCGTCAAAGTATCACATCAAGAAATGCCTGATTATTTTTGCCTTTAAAAAAAACATTGACTAACAACTCTAAAATGTTTTCGACTCTGTTTCCTTCTTTTCTTGATTTAGTGAATTTCCAAAATTTACTACCTCAAAGAGCAAGTAACATGCTGTATTCCGACAAATCTAATTGATACTAGCTTTCTAAAGAACACCAGGCTGCACAA